AAAAAAAAAAAAAAAAAAAAAAAGAAAATAGAATTGCTGGAGTTTTGAGGTCTGGCCCAGCACCTGCCCTGGGGGCACCTGAGGATCACAGTACCATGTTCTTATGGACCCTCAGCAATTCTTTATGATTAAAAGCCATAAAAACAAAATTGTAATACAAGAGGGACAGAAAGAAATGTGACTATGGTTATCCATACTCTCCAGAGCCCAGAAACACAGCTGTGACCCCAGCCCTCCTCACCCCTAGTTCCCCAAAATAAAGCCAAGACGGTCAGAGAGGGGAAGACTGAGGTAACCCCATATGGAGAACCCCAAAGGAAGTCCTGAGAGCAGGAGGAGGGGTCCAGAGACCCCCTCCCAGAGGTCACTGAGCTGAAGCCACCCCAAAGATCCCCGAGAGAGTGCGGGCAGAGGGGGCACTGAGGTAGGCCCGAGGCCGGCAGGCACCCAGGAGAGCCCTGCTCCGTGCGTCGTGGCCAGCGTGGAGTGTGGCTGAGGTCCTCCGCGGGTGTGAGGAGGGAGGCAGGAGAGGCGCGAGCTCAGGGGGCCTGGGCCAGGCCTGCGGCCTGTACGAAGTGGCTCCTGGGCTGGGCGGCATCCTCCTCCGGGTAGAGCGAGAGCAGCGAGGGGCCCAGGCCTTTGGGGAGAGATGGAAGGTAAATCCCAGCGGGTGACCACACATCCCATTTCCCCTCCTGGAGTTAAAAAGCAGGGAGGGAGGCAGGCCTGCCCCCTTCCCACAGCAGCACAATCCTGAGCAAGCACAACTGTGGTGAAGAATCTGCGTTCAGGGTCTGGTAGAGCATTAGCTTCCACCCCCAGAACCCAGCTGGAATCCAGGCAGGGGACTTCATTTCTCTGGGCCACGGTCCCCTCACCTGTAAAATGGGCTCATAACAGTCAAAAACCCACATGACAATCTCGGAACAAAACTACCGCCAGTGCAGGTTAGTGAGTGAGCCGCTGTCTTGGGAGAAGTTGCTCCGCCCACATTAACTGAGCACCTCCTGGGCACCAGGCCCTTGCTTTCCCGAGGGAGGAAACTCTTGCCCCTGGGCTGACATTCCAGAGCAGATGGCTGCCCTGATCACAGTCATCACATCCTTCCGATCAAGACCTAGCTTGCACTTGGCACAGAGCGAGTGCTTGGTCAACACTAGCTCTTCATTTACAGCTGTGCCCGGCCGCTGCCCAAGTGCCATTACATGGTACAGCAGCAGCCAAGTCAGCCTTGCCTCCTGGGGCTCAAACCCACAGGGAGAAGGCAAGCTGTGATCAAATGAGGATGCAGATGCCTATGTAACGATAGATGGACCGTGTACTTAGGAAGGGATGGAGGGCCCCAAGGAGCTAGCAAAGAACACGGAAAAGCATTCCAGGCAGAGGGGTTGAGATATGCAAAGGCCCTGAGGCTGCCTGATCTTCAAGTAAGGCAATTTGGAAGCCAGCACAATGCCCTACAGGGGCCCCGTGCAATCTACCTGTTACGGCTTGTGTCTAGATGTCCCCCAAAGCTTCATGCAGTCATAGGTGGGGCTTTTTCAGAGGTGGGTGGATCTAGAGTGACACTGGAACTGATTCATGGTGCAGTGCTAGGATCAAGGGCTCTAGGATTAAGGGTGTGAGTGCTGCCTGCCCTAAGTAGCCTGGGTAAGATACAAATAGAAAGCTGTGGTTGGCCCTTGCTTGTTTTGCTGCCTTCTGCCCACCTCGAACTGTTTCTTCTCTGCGATGCCACCTGCTCTGGAGCGAGCCAGTTATAATCCCTCAGATTACAAACTGAGCTAAATAAACCTTTCCCCCCTTAGGGGTGTCAAGTATTTTGCCTCAGCAGTGAGAGAAAAGTAAGTAAGGCACCATCTCTCACTTTTTCCCTTCTCTTCGCTTTTCCCAAACAGGAGAGACACGGCCCCCCCACATCTTGGCACCTGCCTGAAATAGTGTCCTGAATCATCACGGGTCACTCCTTTCATCTTTGCTTGGCTGTCACCTTCTCTGTGAGGCCAGCCCTGATCAGACTGCTGAAAACAGAAATTCCCCCACCCTAGAACTCCTTTCCCTGGCATGCATAACCTTCCCCATTATTTTCAGCTCTTGCATTTTTGTTTTTGCTTTTGTGATACTACTGGGGATGGACCCAGAGTCTCATATATGCTAGGTAAACATTCTACTGCTGAGTTGTGTAAAATCCTAGTCCTTTGTATTTTATTTTGACCTTGCTAAGTTCCCCAGATTGGCCTCAAACTGGAATCCTCCTGCCTCAGCCTCCCAAGCACCTGGGATTACAGGTGTGTGCCACCACATCCAGTTCTCTTGGACCCTTTATAATGCTTGTTTTTCTACTGTGGTCTTTTTCCCTTCCTGGAATGCCAGGCCCACAAGGGCAGGGGTTTCTATGTTTTGTTCTTTGCATCTCCAGCACCAGGATAGTGCCTGGCGCCTACTGTGTGCTCCATAAACCTCCATGTGTATGAAGAAAGGAGCAAACCAAAAGGCTGAGTGACCCAGCGTGCGATCTGAGATGAAGCAGCAGCCAGAGGACGCAGAATCCAAAGAGAGAAACCTGTTTCTCTGAAGGGCACTAGGGACTAGGGAGCCATAGAAGGGTTTTGAGCAGAGGAGAGTTATGGCAGATTTGTGCTTTTGGAAGATCCCACTGACTGATGAACAGAGGTTCCCAGTAGAGCACTGGGTGGTTTGATAGTTGCACTGGAAATGATAATAATAACACAAGTGCAGCCACTTCTCTTATGCTCCACGAGAGGCTGCTGGGCCAGCTTCCACCGCGGCCACAAGGGAGGATGTTTTGTGACGCAGGCCTTGTAAGGAAAGCTCTGCTGGTGCGGCATCTCCTTCGGGTAAGAACTAAAGCAACAGGCCCCAACCGACAGGGGAAACAGGCTTCAGAGGTAGAAGCTGATAGCTCAGTCTTGCTCCCACCCCAAGGGGCAGCCTCAGTGACCTGTCGTCCTTGCAGGGGCGCTGCCTGTGTCCTCCAAGGCTACATCCGTAACGCAGCACAGCCCCGCCACCCCCATGATGGTGCCCCAGGGCTACTGTATAATCCAGGTTGCGACTCACCCAAAGGCTCACTCATGTCCAGGAGGTGGGAGCGGGGGTCCCGCTGGATCCCTGGGGCTTGGCCTCCCATCAGGAGGAAACTCTGGGGGAGAGAGACAGATCCACCACCACCATCATCATCATCATCACTATCCAAGGAGGCGGGACGGTGCGGTGGTCAGCGCAGGGCACGGTGGGAGTTGGTGGCGGCCTGTGAGCGAGTCGCTGTCCCAGTGTGTCGCTCCACATCCTCCTGTGCTCCAGGGGCTGACTGTGTGTGCAGCCTGGATGTGGGCTGGCTCTGTCGCTCTGTGGACCACCTCAGCCTGTCACCTTGTCACCCCTTCAGGCTGAGGGTGCGCTGCTGCCCACAGAGCTGACCCCGGTGCACCAGCAGGCCTGCGGCGGTCCCTGTACCCTGCCCACACCCTTGCCAACTGTTCTGCTGTTAGATTCTCCCGACACCCCATCTGAGTGTGCCGTTCCTGTCTAGACTGGCTGACAAGGCCGCTTAACCTCTTGTGATGTGCGCCTTAATAATGACACGCGGAGAGTGGTCGTGAGGACTGTGTGTGTTAATCACGTGAGGCACTTAGTGAAGTCGGCATCTGGCACACATCTGGCACTGAACAAATGTAAACAATTGGTACGACCAACCACGCCCTTCATGTTCAAACCGCAATCTTCAGACTGAAAAGCCAGGAAACCTGTGGGCACTAGGGAGCCATGGGAGGTGGTAGAGGGAGGATTTGTGGAATTAACGTGGTCCAGGCTGGCTTTTAGAAAGTGTGTTCTGTTTGCTCTTGTCCAGAATGGACAGCAGGGGCGTGACTGGAAACAAGGAGACTGGCAGATGCTACTTTCTTTTTCTTTCTTTCTTTCTTTTTAAGGTACCGGGCTTCATGCATGCTAGGCAAGCATGTTTTCCCACACCATGAAATGAGATCCCACTGAGTATCAGCTCTAGGCCTGATCATTTAATCTTCATGGCAATCCTGTGAGATTTAACTATCCCCATGTTCCAGATTTAGAAACTAAGGCTCAGGGAGTTGACACCAACTGCCCAAGTTCTCAGTAACTAAGCGACAGACCTGGTACTCGAACCGGCGTCCACCTGACTCTAATAATTAAACTCTTAACTCTCTGCTGGATGTCCGAGACCAAGCCTCTTTTTAGGGGGTCCCATGCGGACAGGGAAAGTTCCTCCTGACACCCGCCACCTGCATTGCTCCCTTTACCTTCTTTGATGTTTCTTCTTGGCATTTATCACATATTGGCAAAGCCTTTTCATACCCATTAGCAGAACTAGAAGATCAAGGTCCTGACTTCAGCTGGACCGTTAATCTTCCGTATGACCTTCAGCCAGCCCCTGGCCCTCTCTGGCTTCCCCATCTATAGAACAAGAAGTTTAAGCCTGCTAGGTTCTGAGAGCTGGAACGTCCCACCAATCCCCAGACATACCAGGCTGACGGGAGGCAGCAGGAAGTTTTCGGGGTCTAGGCTGGGGGACCGTTTGGGGGGTCTCGCGCCCAGTAGCTCCACCCCCTCGTCCTCTGAGCTCTGGGCCAGGGCCCTGAGGAACAACAGGCAAGACTCTCAGACACGGCACAGAAGGCCTGGGCAAGGGGTGGGCACCGGGGCCAGCGGTGAGGAGCATCCGCGAATGCTCCCGAGCACCCGCTATTTCCTTCACACGTGCGCCCACCACCCATGCGTGCGTCCACCCATCCACCGATCCAGGTCTCATTCATCCCGCACTGACCCATCTTCTGCCCACCCCTCCCCCGGCCCAGCCCCCTGTTCGCTCATCTTTCCACTCATTCGTTCATCCAGTTGCTGTTCCACCTCCCTCCCCACCCACCCGGTGATTCATCCATCCTTCCTCTCATCCGCGGCCCCTTCCCCCCACCCACCACATCCTTCCTCATCCGCGGCCCCTTCCACCCACCCACCTGCCCATCTGTCTCCCTACCCACGACGTTCATCGTTTTCCTCCCTCCTTTAATACATGTTCATTAAGCACCCCGTGTGTTACCATCCCCAAGCTGGGAGCTTTGAGGCATACTGAGCCTCCTAAGGACAGAAAAGTGATTTCTCCTGGAGCCTGTGTGGGCACATGGCTTTTAGAGAGCAAAAGTTTGAGTACTAATAATCTAATGTCTAAATTATATGCAGAATACTGCGTGCGTGCGTGTGTGTGTGTGTGTGGTGTGTGTGTGTGTGTGTGTATGTGTGTGTGTACATTTTAGAGTCCACTGCTTTCAACAGGTTCTCCAAGGTGTTAGGAAACTTAGTGCTAGTTTCTCAGACACTGTGGCAGTATCTTCTGTTTTCCAGAGCTGAGGTGGGATCCAGGGCCTCACACCTGCTAGGCAAGTGCTCTACCACTGAGCTGTACCCCAGCCCTTTTTACTTTATTATCATTACTACTATTATTATTGGAGTACTAGGGATGGCAGCCAGGACGGGGCTCTACAACTCTACACTCCCAGCCCTTTCCTTCTTTATCGATTTCCTTTTGAGACAGGGTCTCATTAAGTTGCCCGTGCTGGCCTCAAACTTGTGATGCTCCTGCCTTAGTCTCCCGAGTAGCTGGGATCACAGTCGTGTGCCGCTGTGCCTAACCACGTCTTCGTCATTGTGACAAAAACTGTCCCAAAGGGTTGCTCTGCGGCTGCGGTGGGGTTTGGATGAATGAGAGCAGTAGAGGCCACTGCAGAAGGCACCGAGGTGGGGACAGACCTGGCCGGTGCCAGGGACACGGAGGGCCTGGCTGGAGTGGAGGTGAGGGTGGGAGGCAGGGCCAAGCGTCACACTGAAGTAGGACGTGGGCACAGACAGGTGGGGACCTTCTCTACGCCCCCTTAATGCCCCCCCTTGACCGTAGCTCACCTCTTCCGAGCCCCAGCGGTGGAGGAGGATGCCGAAGGGTCCCCTCTGGGAGGGCTGGAGCAGCTCAGCCGGGGGTCACTCCCCCAGCGGGGCAGCAGGGCGGGCTCAGGGGTCGGAGGTGACAGGCCGTGGAAGCTCTGAGCACGGGGCCGGGGCACGGTCCCTGGAGGTCTGTGGAAGGCCCTGGGCAGCTGCTCGCTGGAGCTGAGCTGGAAGTCGTCATCCATGGAGATGTAGGGGGCCAGCATCTCCAAGTCAAGAGCGTCGGCGTCCTGCAGAGGATGGGCAGGAGGAGTTAGGAGCGTGCGGGTGCCCTGGCTGGGGTCCCGGCTCCACCGTTTCAGTCACGTGCCCAAGGCCCAGAGCTTCAGTTTCCCCATCTGTAAAACAGGTACAAGGACCAAGACAGCCCTCTGATGTTGCCCTCTTGGATTCACACCCTGCTGTAGCCCCTAGCACAATGATCAGGACTGACCTGGGTGACAACAGGAAGTGATTTTGTGTGACTTCCACATTAGGCTATAAAAGGCACAGTTCCCCCACCTTTTGTTGCTGGGGTGGGGAGGCCTGCAAGGAACCTTTGCCAGGCTAGTGAGTGACCTTGCGAGTGGATTCTCTAGTCCCAGCCAAACCTTTGGTGGCTGTGCCCTCACGGGAAACTCGGCACAAGAGCCGTCCACCTGGTCCTGGACCCCTGACCCTCAGGAGTTGTGTGAGGTTTTACAAATGCTCGCTGTTTTCACCTGCTAAATTCTAGAGTAACTGATGATCTAGAAATAAACTTAAGATTGGTACTGAGAATGGTAGGCTGCTAAAACAGCTGTGACTTGAACCGGGCAGGGGCCGGAGGACTCTGCAGAGCACGTTAGAGAAACCCTGAATCGTCTGCGTGAAGGATCAGCGAGAATCTGAAACACGGCTGCCAGTGAGGTGAGAGGGAGTGCAACGCAGGGCAGGACCGGAGCTTCCTTCTTGCATAGCGGCTTCCAGTTCACCTACACTGCTGCCTCTTGTTAAGTGGAAAGGAGAAAATGGAACCAAGGAACTAACTGGGTGATCCAGCAGAGGAGATTTCTAACTGCAGTGTTGAAGCTTCCAGCCTCTGCCCGATTTCTCCCTTGCTCCTTGGTGTAAAAGACAAGAGGACAGAGAAGAGATGGGCTGGGCCTGGTGGTGCCACCTTCTAATCCCAGCGCTCTGGGAAGCTGAGGTGGGAGGGTCACAAGTTGCAATTTAGTGACTTACTGAGACCCTGTCTTCAAAAACTAAAAAAATAAAGAAGAAGAAGAAAGGCTTGGAAGTAGTGTAGTACAAAGGCTTTGTTTTCAATTCCTAGTATTGTATATGTATATATTATTTTGGTACCGGGGATCAAACTCAGGACCTTGTGCTTGCGAGGCAGGCAGCAAAACCACACATACAGACACACACAGGAAGAAATGGTAAAATGCAAAGGAGCTGGGGTTTGAAGAGTCTGAAATTGTCAACCTCTCTGTGTAATAAAGAATGAATTAGGAGCCGGGCTGGTGGTGTACGCCTGTAATCCCAGCACTCGGGAGGCTGAGGCAGGAGGATCGCTGTGAGTTCGAGACCAGCCTGGGCTACAAAATGAGTTCCAAGTCAGTCTCAACTACATAGGGAGACCCTGTCTCAAAAACAAACAAAAAAAAGGAATTAGGGCTGGGGATGTAGCTCAGTGGTGCCACCACCTGCCTGGCAAGTGCAAGGTCCTGAGTTCAATCCCTGGTACCAAAAAGAATGAATTAACTCCCCCCACAGAGCTCTTGCCTTTGTCCTCTTGCCTTAGAGATAACCTTGAAACTTTAGCAATCTCCCAAGTGACATCAAAGTCTTTGAGATTAATCATCCCCTCCTGGCACCACCCTTGATAGCTTACATCACTGAGATGACCCAGGATGGTTTATGCTAATGAGGTGCCCTGGGGTGGGAGCTGTCATGCTAGGAAGACCAACCGTATGATGGATCCTTTGCGGATGGGAAGAGCATCTAGAGATGCAGGGAGGGGGGCGTTAAAAATAAGTTGTGTTAAATACTGAACGTTATCTACTACCTACAATGGATGTAAACTTTTGTATTGCAAATATGAACTAATAAAGACGTTTTTTAAAGGGATGAAAGCCCAGAGAGGTCACATGACTCAAATTAGACTACACTGACTAAAAAAAAAATCAGGAAAGGCAAGCTTGACATGGAAACGGAATTCAGTCACATCGGCAATAACTCAGTTCTGTACAGGTAAATGAAACCTCAATAAAAACTGCGCACCGGGTCCTGGGTGGTTTCTGGGTCAGCAAACTGCACATTGCCAGGAGGGCAACATGTCCCTGAGGACACGGACACTTCCCACTGGGGACTCCTCCAGTCCCAGGTGCCACCTGCTGCCTCTCTTCTTGGCTGGTCTGGTTTGTACTCTTTAACTACAGTATGATGGCAACTGTTAGCAGCTTAAATGACATTCCGGTTTCAGTGGACCACAGACACACTGGTGGTCCACGAGGTGATAACGGAGCGGGGAAGTTCTGGCCACCTAGTGACGAAGCTGTCATCGACATCCGAGGGTGTGCTGTGTGAGCTCACCAACTGTGCTTCCAGCTCATAAAGGTTCAGCACATACAATTATGGACCCACAATACCTAGTTTTGTTTTGTTTTGGTTTTGGTACTAGCGATCGAACTTGGGACCTTATGCTTGCAAGACAGGCAGTGGAACCACTGAGCTACATCCCCCACCTTCACAATACCTAACAATGATAATGGGTGACTACGTTACTGGTTTATAGATCGTTAGGCTTTTGTGGGGGGCGGGATGGTACTGGGGATCGAGCCCAAGGCCTTCACACTAAGCTATGCCTCAACCAGACACTGTGTTGGGAAGAGGCCTTCAGGTCTTGCGAGGGTTCAGGTGTATTTTGCACAAGGGAGAGACATGAATCATTGGGGGCCCTCGGGGACCCCTCCTTTTGGTTTTGGCCCTCCTGGGTAGTTGCCTGGGATCTGTATGCCCAATATGATGCAGTAGAGTGGTGGTCTGTCCTACAGAAGACTGTGCCTTCTGTCTTGGTCCCCTCCTCGTCCCTCCCCTGATACCGCTACATTGTGAGACCACACACTGCCTTCAGGGTGTCCCGTGGGATGAGGAGCTGAGGCCTCCAGCCAATGGCAACACAGGACCGAGGCTGGACAGCACCTCAGAAGCAAGTGCTCCAGCCCAGGACACCGCAGCCCTGTCTGAGAGGGGGACTCCAACCTGAGAGACTCTGAGCAAGACCACCCTGCCAGGGCTGGGGCTGTAGCTCAGTGGTACACGGAGGACACAGGTACAAGGCTCTGGGTTCCATCCTCAAAAGCCAACAAAAGTCAAACCAAAACCACAAGAGCCAAACCAAAGCCAAAAAAAACAAACAAACAAACAAAAAAAAAAAACCCCACCAGCTAAGCTGCTCCCAGGTTCCAGATTCCCAGAAAGCATGTGATGTAATAAATGTTAGCCGTTTTAAGGTAGTAAGTTGTGGGTGATTTGTCATGTAGCAATACCTAACTTATGCCTCATGCCTCCGTCGTCTTAGCCTATCAATCAATCGTCCATCCTAACATCGCCCATGTTCATCCAGCCAGTGAACCAACGGTCCGTCTACCCAAGCATCCACCTATTGATCCACCCGTTCAGGCAGCCAGATAGCTACCTAAACATCTCCGCCCACTTCCCATCATCCATGCAGTGAATACAGTGGCGCATCCGCCCGTCCACCCACCCACTCACCCGTTAATCTCTTGGTCCTTTTAGCCGCCCCTCCACCCCTCCTAAGGCTGCCGTCAGTCCCCAGAGCATGGAATGAAGACTTGTTCCACAGCGGCCCTCACCGGAGCTACGTCTAGATCTGTGTCCTCCACCTCAGGGTTCTTCCTGGCAGCACAGCGTCTGTGTGTGTGCTCCGCAGCCGCAAGTAGTTCATCTGGGAGATCAGCCTGCGGGGAGAGAGCAGGGCCAGGGAGCCCTTCGGCCCTGGGAGGTGTGACTAGCAAGACGTTGTGGAGCTTGGGACAGAAACGAGGGTCGAGTGTTAGACTGCCGGGATGTCGTGGGTCCACCAGGAGATGCAGGGCAGCTTGTGGTGCGCTGGGGTGGCTGATGCGGGGTGTTGAAAGGTCCAGAGAACCTGGGTACACGCAGGTCAACAGGACAGGCAGCCAAGACACTCAGGCCCTCTGGGGTTAAAAGTGTTGGGGCCTGGTGTCTGTAGAGTCCAGCTTTTCTGGGATAAAGGGTGAGGTTAAAAGTCTCACAGTTGTCTCTCTCCAGTGGAAAGTATTTTCTCGCGGTAGAAGGGAGGGATGAGGACAGTTAGCGTGGGTAACAGCCCACAGAGGTCAAAGATTGGACCATCTGCACCGTGGTGCTGCTGAATTGGGCATGGTGGTGCATTTGGGAGGCTGAGGCAGGAGGACTGCTATAAGTTCAAGGCCAGTCTGAGCTACATTGTGAGATCCTGTCTCAGAAAAAAGAAATGGCTGCTACTAGGGTCTGCTGCACAGCTGTGAAAGCCAGGCCCACACATGACCTCATTTCACCCTCCCAGTGACCAAGGACGCAGCTCTTGTTATCCTCACTGTACCAGCAAGGTCACTGAGGCCTCAAGGATTCACTTGCCACGGCTGGCACACCTGGTCAGGAGCAGATTCAGGATTTGAACCCAGGACTCTATAGATCAAGACATTTGACTTTCCTGACTGAGGCCGAAGTACAGAGAGCCCGGAGCTTGGTCACAACTAGGGGCTTGTACCAGTTCAAACATCTTGGAGACTCCAAAGCCAGACTGGAGCAGACTCTGGAATTCTTCACAGCTGAAGAATCTGGAATCTGGGTCTTAAAGGAACTCCAGCCCTGTCTCATCCCAACCTCCCTCCTTAAGCACATAGAGAAACTGAGGCCCTGAGAATAGCAAGGCTCAAGCCCAAGGCCAAGTGGGGGGTACTGCTTACCAGGAGAGGACTTCGGGGGCACCGGGAGGCCAGCGGGGTGCTGGGGGTGGTGGCTACCGCAGCCCCATCCAGGATGGGGGCCAGAAGGCGGCGCAGGTCAGGGCTACAGAAGCGGCGGGGGTCAGCAGCCAGGGTGGCCTCGCTCAGGGCAGGGGGGTGAAGGAAGGCCAGGGTCCAGGGACCCGGGGTATCTGCAGAATGGCGAGGACACAGGGTGACCGTCTGGGGCTGAGGGCCAGAGCCCTGCACACCAAGCCCAGGGAACAGTGACTAATCAGGGCAGCTGCAGTTCTCAGGTTGGGGAGAAGGGGCATGGAGGACCCCTGGGCCAGATTGTGGGGAGGCCCTGGAGGATCAGGGGAAGGGCTCCGTGGCCCAAAATAGCATGCAGCCCTTCAGCTCTGAGGCGCTTACATGTTAGGGAAAAAACAAAACCAGGCCCCAAGGATATTCAGAGGTCAAAATAGTCAGCTCGGAGTCCCAAAAGTAAAGGGTATCAACAATTGCACCCCACACCCAGGAGCACAGGCTGCCAGAAGCAAGTTGGAGAAGGTGAGGCCTTGAAGAACACACAAGGAAGGGAGCTCATCTGGGGTGGGGGTAGGGAAGATGGAAGAGGGAGAAAAGAGCCACTCAAGAGGGTCAAGATTACTGAGGCCAAAGAGCAGTGTGGTGCAAACAACTGGGAGCCACAGCAGGATTGAGAGTAGAGGACGACAAGAGACTGAAGCAATCATCTCATAGTCATAGAAGAAGCGGGATGACAGGAGAGAGAAGAGCATTCTGGGCATGTGCAAAGGCCCTGAGGCAAGAGTCTGGAGTGTCCCAGGAACTGAGGAAGCATGTGTGGATTCAAGAACGAGTGACAAGTGAAAGGATGCAGGAGTTGGGCCCTCCAGGGCTTTGTGAGCCATGTCAAGGCACTCGGGCTTTCTTCCAAGGGTCCTGGGGACACAACAGCCCTGCTCCATACCAAGCCTGTCCCCAGGATTAGGGGCATCCTTCTGAGAGGAGGTGCCACGCTGAAGGGGTCTGCGAGAGTGTCGGTCCGTTTGCTCCAGGGACAGCACCACTCCGTTCTCTTCCACCTGGCTGGGGTACAGTGTAGAAAGAGGAGTGAGAGTCAGAGAGGGTCCTCAGCCTCAGCCCAGGCAGCCCCTTCCGGTGAGGTCCTAGTAGAGAAGGCAGTGGCATCCAGAGGCTGGAGGGAGAGTGCGGAAAATAATCCGTGACCGGTTTGTTTCCTATCAGGGTTTGGCTTTTGTTGACTGCTTGTTATTATACAGGTTGAGTATCAATAATCTGAAAAGCCAAAATCTGAAACCTTTGGAGACCAACACGATGCCACTGTGGAAAATTCCATACCGTGCCAGTTTGTTTCATGCACAAAATGACAACACTTGCATATAATTACCTTCAGGCTATGTGCATAAGGTGTACATGAAACATAGTGACACCCTGTCTCCAAGTAACAAACCAAGCGAAGGAACGACAGAACAAGTCAAAGTTAAGTTGGTCAGTTCCCGAGCTCCTTCTGTGGTAGTACGGAGGAAAATGAGCCAGCCTCTGGCGCATTCTGGGCAGAGGGAAGGGAGGCTGGGCGTGGTGTGGGGGGCACCGAGTGACAGATGGGGGCGATGAAGTGCGGGGACAGAGTGGGGAGACCTGGGAGGGAGGGAGGAAGTGAGTCGAAGCCCCAAGAGCTAACTATTCTCTGTATAAAATTTGCTTACAGACGTCTTATACATGCATTGACGAAAGACATATTTTTAACACATTCTTCATTATATTACCAAATATGAAGCATTTATAGGGCTATATTTTTTGAGTGTTTATTTAGGAAGCTTCTATTCATAGGCATTTTTCATGCTGAAGGGAACGGGTTTCTAAATCCAGCCTTCCTATGGCCCACAGTCTCTGGCTACAGGTGCTCTCTCGGGACAAGGTGGCTTTTGAAGGTGGGGTCTGGGGCTGAGGGCCATGCCCCCAACTGCATTCATCTGCGTCTCATTAGCATAAACCCATACAGGGCAGAAAGTGGCCTGGTCCTCCACCGTCTCTAAACCCACCCTGCCTGGAAACATCCCAATTCAGGCTCTCCCAAAAGCTGCAGCCTGCACACATAGTCACACTGGGACATACAGGCACAGAGAGAACACTCCTACACATCTAGGTACACGCAGGGACAGGTACACACACACACACACACACACACACACACACACACAACTAGAGACACGCAGAGAGAGACACACACACACACACACACACACACACACACACACATTTGGGCTCACACACGTGCACACACTGGGCTCCCTCTTGCTCATTCCACAGATACCTCCAGTCGGGCAGTCCAGTGGCCTGGCTCCAAATGTCAGCTCTGCCACTGTGAATGAGCTAGCTGTGTGACCTTGAAATGGGGCTGAGCCTCTCTGAACTTCAATTTCCTTTTTTGGTCAAAAGAAAACAGTAAGAGTACTACCTGCCCAGGTGGTTAATATATATAAAATGCACAGAACTGTGCCGGGCAGGTGATGGGGACAATATGTGTACTATTGTATTTTTTTGTTGAGCAACTACTATATACCAGACATTGTTCTAGGCACAAGGGATTCAGCAGTAAACAAGATAGAAAAAACTCCTGGCCCTTACGGGGATTAAATGCTATTGGGAAAAAAGACAGATTTTTAATAAAACATTATTTTTGTATTAAGTGTATATATATTTCTATTAAGTGAACTAGGCTAGCCAGGATTGAGGTGTACTGTAAGATACACGCTGGAATTTTAAAAAATTGAACATTAAAAAAGGGATCTGGGACACTGGGGATTTAGCTCAGTGGTGCTGCTGCCTGCCTCACAAGCACAAGGTCCCGAGTTCGATCTCCGGTACCAAAAAAAAAAAAAGGGATCTGGGGACTCAGAGTGTTGCTCAGTGGTAGAGCACTTGCCCAGTGTGCAAGTTCGATCCCCAGCACCTCACCTCATACACAAAGATCTAAAATATCTCAATAAGGATTGTGTGTTGAAATGGTAATTTTTGGCCATATTATATGTGTATATCCACACAATAAGATTTACTCTCACATTAATTTTACTTGTACCTTTTCACTTTTTTTTTTTTTTTTTTTTTTTTTTTTTTTTTTGGGACTGGGGATACCATGATTCTATAGGAAGTATTGAGACAGTGAAAGTACTAAGGAAAAATATCAGGCAGAGTAGAGAGTCTCCGATTCTGAAACGGAGAATCAGAAAAAGGCGGGCTGAACACGCAAGGAAATAGGATAATTACAAGTAGTTTTAAAGACTTTGGAGCAAAAAGTACAGAACACCAAGAGAGAAAATGCCTGACTGCACGTAGGGACTCAGTAGTGACATCTGAGCTGAGACTGGACGGATGAATAGTCATGACTCAGAAGACGGGAAGGAGGGGAGAGAGGGCATTCTGGTTAGTGCAGGCTGCATGAGCAAAGGCCCTGGGGTTTGATGAGTGACTGAGGGGGGGAATGAAGTAGGAGTCCCCAAGGGCCTTCAGCTTTCTCTTAAGGGTACTGGGGAGCCACAAAAGGGCCCTTGAGCAGTGCAGAGACATGAAGTATAAATTGATTTGTATTTCAGGACCCTTGCCGTCAAGAATATGGATCAAGTAGAAATCTCATACTTTCCTGCTGGGATGCAAAGTGGCACTGTGAAAAACAGTTGGCAGTTTCTTCAGAAGTTAAATATACACTGACCATACGACCCACCCGTCCCACTCCTAGATGTTCACCCAAGAGAACTGAGTCCATGTGATCTCAAAAAACCCCATATGGTCTGGGGATTCAGCTCAGTGGGCCACCACCTGCCTTGCAAGCGCAAGGGCCTGAGTTTGGTCCCCATACCAAAAACAAAAGCAAAAACAAAACAAACAAACAAACAAAAACACATGAGGGCTGGGGATTTAGCTCAGTGGCACCGTGCCTGCTTCAACAATGCAAGATTCTGAGTTCGATCCCTGGTACCAAAACGAAAACAAAAACAGAAAAACCCAATATGAGAATGTTTACAGTAGCTGTTCTTGTGATCACCCAAAATAGCAAACAGCCCCAAGTCCTCTAACTGGTGAATGGGTAAATAACCTATGGTCCATTCATACTGTGGAACGCTTGCCAGTGTTCAAATGTCGCTACTGATACGTACCTCGGCATGGATGAATTTTAAATAAGAGACAGTCCTCGGCCTACAATAGTTAAATGAATATTCAACTCTACAATGGTGCAAAAGCAATATGCACTCGGTAGAAACTATACTTGTGTTTCGCTTTCTGACCTTTTCCCAGGCTGACGATACAGCACAGTGGTCCCTCGTGACGTTGGAGGACTTCTGCTCTATGGTGCGCTGTGGTCCTGGGCTATGGGGTTTGGTAGTTCAGGTGTACTTTTGATTTACAATACTTTTATGTTACAGCAGGTTTATCAAGAAAGTGGAAGAGTGTCTGTACATTGTGCTAAGGACGCTAGATCCCAAAGTTTGCACACTATGATGTCCAGTGTCTGACATCCTGGAGAATGCAAAACTCTAGAGTCAGGGGACAGATCAGTGGCTGCCAGGACTAGGGGCAGGGGAGGGGATGGCCACAAGAGAAGTTTTGGGGTGATGAGACTATTCTATAGCTCGCTTGTGGTAGTGGTTACACCATTGCACATATTTGTCAGAAGTCACAGAGCTGTGTACCGAAGCGAGAATTTCCTGTAAATGTAAAAATCATACTTCAAAATTTTAAAAGAGAAAAAAAAAAGATCCAAGTGGTTCTGTTGCTTTTTGGAGCAGTGGTACTAGGAATTGAGCCTAGGGCCTTCATACTGAACTACATCCTCAGCCCTTCTTTTATTATTATTATTTTTTGGTACTGGGGATCAAACTTGGGACCTTGCACTTGGGAGGCAGGCAGCAGCAAAACTGAGCTAAATCCCTGGCCCCCTTCTTTTATTTTAAAAATGTATTATTTTTCTAGTACCAGAAATCGAACTCAGGACCTTGCGCTTGCCAAGCAGGAAGGGCACCTATTTTTTTTTTAACTTAGGGACAGGGTCTCACTAAGTTGCTAAGTTGCCCAGGATGGGGTTGAACTTGCAATCCTCCTGCCTCAGCCTCTCAGAGTGCTGGGATCACAGGCATGGGGCACCACGCCCAGGGTATTTCTTATTTTAACTTAAACATAGAGTCCTTTTTAATTTAAACACTCAGTACACACATGCACATGCATTCACACAGCCACACACGTTACACATGTACACATGCTCACCTCCTCACACACTTACGCACAATACCATGCACAGACGTCTAAACACACACAGACCAGCCCATGCACACCACCAACCCTCTCTCCTCTGCTCACCTGATCAGGAAGTGGACGCAGATGATACTCTCTGACTGGGGGCCCCGGCCCCCCGACACCACCGTGGCCTGGGTCTGGGTCCACAGGTAGCCACCACTCCGTGCCAGGAAGCGATACTGCCCTGTCACTGCCTGGCCCTTGCTCAGCACTGGGGAGGGGGCAGAGAGGGGTCAGGGCCACGGAAGGGCACCTGGGCAGAGAAGGCTCTGGGCCTGGGGTTAGGAACGTGGGGCCAGGGAGGACAAGGTTCCGTGGGGCTTAGGGGAGGCAAAGGCTCCCTGGGGTGGCACTGACTCTGACTGGGGAACAAGTCACATACACGTGTGAATGCTCCTGCTGACTGCGTCAGAGTCCAGGGCGTGGATGTACTCGTAGGCGGAGCAGCCGATCAGGTCATCTGGGCTGTAGCCAGCAACCTCTGCGATCCTAGGATGCGATGGAGGGCTCCCATCAGGGCTCAGGGCTGAGGTGGAGCACAGGAGGAAGGAGGGGACAGAGGACATGGACACAGCCAGCGAAATGAGAGGCAGGGTTGTAGGAGAGAGGAAAGGAGAGTGAAATATAAACAGAGGAGTGTGGGGTGCTGAATATTGGCCCCCAACGATGTCCACATCCTAACTGTTGGAACGTGTAAAGGTGGTGTCTGACAGGACAGAAGGGGCTTTGCAGATATGGCGAAGATCTTGAGAGAGAACCAAGATTGATTCAGAGAGAGACAGAAAAAGAATGAATTAAAGACAAAAAGACCTACAGATTGGCCGGCCCTGGAGAGCCAGATGGCGTCAGAGAAGGGAGGAGGGTGGAGAGTGGCCCTCTGGGCACCGCCCACCTCTCGTCACAGTAGGTGAACTTCATGTCCAGGCTGTGGCGGGTCAGGAAGGCGCCCCGGCCCAGGGGGGGCTCCAGGTTGCCCGGGTGGGGGATGGCCTCGCAGATGAGCACCAGGCACTGCAGGGGGGGCTCGGAGCTGGGGCTCCCGGCCAGGGCCGTCTGACCTGGGGACTTGTAGGCCCTCATGTGTCCAGAGCAGTGCAGCACCTGGGGGTGGAGCGAGCGTGCTGGACTTGCATCCGGGCCCAGAGTTCCCCAGGGGGCTGTGAAGGAGAAATCCCTGAGGAGCTCAGAGGGTCAGCTTGGGGTGCTGTGGGGACGCCCATATTCCAGCCCCTTGAGGATTCCAAATTCAGAGGGCTGAGGACCCCCAGAGATCCAGCCTGAGAAAGGTTACAAGGACCCCCAGAGCCCATCCCTACAGACATCCAGCTTCCTAGATGCCTTAGGCCCAGCCTGAGCGGCCCCAAAGGATAACCGGACAAGAAACAGAGGCTCAGGCAGTGGGAACTTCCGGGCGCAGGCCCCGCCCCTACCGACGGCCCCGCCCACCTCCAGGTCAGCCCCCGCCCACCTTCCAGGTGGCAGCCTTGAGGTTGAGGGTGCGCCCGCGGCTGGTGAGGGTGCTCTTCATGCGCAAGGAGAAGCACCGCTCGGTGGGGGCCTCTGGCTTCTTCTTGGACAGGCCTGGACGCACCGGGGTGGCAGGCTGGTCACCAAGCAGCTGCAGAGGGCCCAGTGCCCTCCAGCACCCAGCTTTGCTAAAGGCTCCCAGCTTTGACCCCCAAACTGGGACCCAGAGCCAGAGAGGGTCCTCCAGGGATCGGGTGTGACCCCCTCAGACCTCAGGGCAGGACCTGTCCAGGGAGGGGGTGAGCCTCCATGCCCTCCTCTGTAAAGTAGGGGTGCCGCCGCCAGGGCACTCACTGGGCCTGGGGGTCAGGGCGTCCTGGAGCTCCTCTTGGTCGCAGGGATGGACGAAGTCAAAGATATTGTGTCCGATGAGCTCCAGCTGCAGGGAGAGGGCAGGGCGGGAGTGATGGAGTCAGTCTCCCCCTTCCCCTGCTCATCTCTCCTGCTCCAGTTCACCAGCCTGGATTCCTCCACCAGTCCTCCTGGTCACCCATTCACTCGTTCACTCGTCCGCTCATCTCTGAGTAACCACTCCTTTAGCACCTTTCTGCCAGGCCCTCTTCTAAACTGTAGGGACACATCAGTGACCACCCAGGCAGATCCATGCCTTGAGGAACTTACTTGCTAATCAGGCAAGACAACTGATAAGAACAGCAGGACAAACGACAAGGCGGCAGGTGACAACTAAAGCAGGGTAAGGTGATGTAATACTAGGACGCGTGCAGAGAGAGCAGCCCTGGACAGATTTTTTTTGAGGAGGTGATACTTGAAAAAAACTGCTGAACAAAGCAAGTGAGGTGGGCTTGTGGCTCCTTGGGGTAAGAATGCTATATAAAAGTGGGGGGCAGCAGTGCAAAGGCCTGAGATGAACTGAGGAAATGAGTTTAATGCTGGGAGGAGAGGATACAGATGGAAGGGGGCTCACAGTCACTCCCAACTCATTGGTGGCAGAATGACATCTTATTCCTCTAAAAAGCTCTTGTAGCTGGGTTTGAATCCTGGCTCTGCTACTCCAAGCTTTGGGGCCTGGGGACATTGACCTGTCTCAGTCCAAGAGCTCATAGCAACAGAAAAACTGGTGCCAGGAGTGGGATTATGAGACGGGAGCAATGGTCAGCTCTGGAATCCATTTACATATAATTAAGTGGTAATTAAAAGTAGTTCTGCTTTCTTTCTTTCTTTTTTTTTTTTGAGATGGGGTCTCACTGTGTAGTTCAGGTTGGCCTTGAACTCACTATGTAGCCCAGGCTGACTTCAAACTCTCAGTGATCCTCCTGCCTCTGCCTCCCAAGTGCTGGGATTACAGGAGTGCATCACCATGCTTGGTCTGTTTTTATTTTCTTTCCTTTTTTCCCCCTTTTTTTCTTGTTTTCTAAATGTCTCTTCTCTCTAGTTCCCCATCTCAATGGGTCCTGCCCTACTGCTGTTCTCCTGCCTAAGATCACTGTCCACCCCTTGCTGATCTCCAACTTCTGTCTCACTCCCTCCAATGCTAGCCTCATGAGGGACCTTTCTAAAATGTACTTGTGATCTCCTGCCTAAGATCACTGTCCACCCCTTGCTGATCTCCCAACTTCTGTCTCACTCCCTCCAATGCTAGCCTCATGAGGGACCTTTCTAAAATGTACTTGTGATTACGCCTCCCTGCTTCAGATCCTTTCATGACTCCCCAGTGCCCCAGAGACAAACTCTTCTGGTTCGGCCTTACATTATTTAGTCTCTGCTGACGTCTCTAGCCTTTTCTCTCTCAACTTCTCCCGCTGCACTCTGCCTCTAGCCAGTAGAAATTTCATTATTTCCCTCAAATGCTGTTTTATCTCACCTCTGGGTGTTTGCAGGCTCCGTCCTTCTACCCAGAGCATTCCTGATCTTCAGTGGTCACTGTTGCCCATACCCCTTTGAGTCGAACTCCTTCACACGTCAGCTCAGCTATCCCTTCCTCCAGGAAGTGCACCAACCTCCGAGTCTTGGTGAGGTATCTCTCCCCCATTTCCCACATCCCTAGGCTGTTCCATCTCAGCCCTGACCGTTCTGTGCCTTGGTGTCTGGTGACATGCCTATCCCCATCCCCCCTCTGTCCTGGTCACTCACCATGCTATCCCGAGCATCACTACGCAGGGCCAGGTACAGAGCGGGCAGCTCACCTGACTGAGGCCCAGGTGTTTGCTGACGTTCTCAGACAGGTAGGCCATGTCTCCCTCGATGGTGAGCACCATGACAAAGCCCTCCAGGGCCTTCAGGTAGCAGGCATCCAGTGGTTCTCCCTCGGCTCTCACATGGTTCCACTCCCCTGGTACCCAGGGCAGGGGGATGGGGGTGTCACTCACCAGTCCTAGGCCCACCCTGTCTAGCTTCCCTCTGCTTTTTCCCACTTGGGGTCTTCCAGATACACCCAAGTGAGTGGGGGCACATCCTGGTAGCCTGGAGTGCCAAGGAAGAGGGCAGGAACACTGAGCTTTCCCAAGGGACACGATTCTAAGGGGTGAGCCTCCTAGGAGTGCAGAACTCTAAGAAGATGGAACTCCCAGGAGTCAAAAATTCAAAGGGGCCAGAAATTTAGCTCAGTGGTTCCGCCACCTGCCTTGCAAGCACAAGGGCCTGAGTTCGATCCCCGGTACCAAAAAACAAACAAAAAAAATTCAAAGGGGTCAGGGCGAGGGTGAAGCTTGGAATCCTAGGGGTGGAGGCAAGCCCCCTAAGTTCTTGGAGAGCAGGACCTTCTAGATGCAGAATTCCAACAAGCAGGGATTCCTGGGGACAGAGCTGTAAGGTGCAAAGCCTATCAGAGGGGTAACATTCTATGGGGCAGGGAACTAGTGGGCAGTGCTGCCAGAGGATAACTATTTCCTCCGTAATCAAAGCTTTTCAAAGCCCTGGGATTCCAAGGCCTCCGTGTGTGTGGGTGGCAAACCCTCCTGCGGAGGAGTGGAATTCTAGCTGGGTGAAATTCAAGGGGAGGGCCACTAAAGCACAAGCTACAGATCAAGACGAGAGGCGGCGAAGGGAAAAGGAACTGTGAAGGGAATAAAAACTGGGTGGCAGAGCCTCACAGGGTATTTCTTGTAAGGGGCCAAGGCCTGCCACGGAACGTCTCCTAAGGGACCAAATCTAAGGCTGAGGGGCCGCAGGGAGTTAGGGGGCCTCCGAGCTCTAAAGCGGCAGGGCTTCCCACAGGCGCATTCCCGGAGGCGGGGCCTCAACTACGATAGACCACCATGGAGGCGGGATTTCCAAGAGTACCGGGCTCCGACTGGCCCAGCCCTCGAGGAGGCGGGGCCTCTCCGAAGAGCGGATTCCAGGGAGGTGGGGCTCAGCGGGGAAGCCTTCCCAGGGGCGGGGCCTTGTCCGGACGGGAATACGGGGGCGGGGCTCACCTGCGGCGCAGAGGCGGTGCATGCGCAGGTAGCTGATGGTGAGGCGCATGATGGAAGCCTTGTCCAGGTGGGCGCTGACGCCGCGCGCGAAGGGCAGCGTGTGCGCCAGCTGGTACAGCACCTCGGTCTCCTGGCTGCGCCGGCTGCGGGCCGCATCCCGGGACTTCTCCTTGCGCAGCTCCGTGCTCGACCTGCGGGCATAGGTGACGTCCATTAACGGCGTCCCCCGAAGAGAAAGAGGTGGACGTGGACGGGACAGCCACTTGGGGTCCGCTGTGTGGCCCCGAAGAGTTCTCGGCACCATCTGGGCCTGGAAGGTTTCACACTCCGAGCCCTCCCTCCGAGCCCCAGATTTTACCTGTCCTGTTGGAAGCCCATGCTGCCAGCCCGTCGCTCCTCTCCTAAGCGTGCCTGAGGCCGCTCTGTCCCCACCCTGACTTATCTACCGTGTATTTCCCAAGCTAGGGACGCCTGAGGGACAGGGAGGCCTCCTGGTGGGAGGGGGCTGGCCGAGCTGGGCCGGAGCCAGAGGAGGGCGGGACCTTGAGGTGCTGGCAGCCTCCCAGGCCCCTCTTCTGCCCTTTTTCCGCCCCACCGGGCTGAGTCCTCACACTCCTGGAGCAGAGATATCTCAAAGTCTAAGGCCCCACCAAGAGGGGCCCTAGGAGGGGCAGGGCCCCAACAGAGTGACACAGCAAACCAACCCCACGTTCTGTCCAGTCAACAGCCCTTCACCTCTGCCCTCCACTTCAAATACTGAATTTTGCAAGTGGGGTTGGATTTGGGGTGCAGTGAGCACTATTTTGTCAGAAACACCTGCCACTTGTCCAGTTTCACTACCACGCCAGCACCTGTGCCAAGAGTGAATTCCACCTACCGCTCAGACAGCCCTAGAAGGAACAACATCGTCCCCATTGCACAGAGGAGGAAACTGAGGCAGAAAGGTGCAGTGCTGGCCATAAATAGCAAAGCACTTCATTTGAACACTCAGCTGCCTGAACTCTTCAATTTTCTGTCTTGTTGGCCCTGGGTCTATGTCCAAGTCTTAGTGTTTCACCCCAATTCTGCCAGTCTTCAAATTCAAATTCCAGGCCTGACTGAACCCCAAATCAGCCTCACCTTGAGAGAAGGTTGCTCTGTGGTCCAGGCCAACCCTGAACTCACTGTGTAGCCCATGCTGGCCTCGATCCTCCCGCCTCAGCCTCCTGAGTGCTGGGAGCTTATTTTTGTGAATAAAGAACTACAGGGTATATTACATCTGGTGTTGTATGTATAGTTGAATCTATGTTTACAATATTGATAAAATCCATTCAGAATAAGCAGCTCTGCTAAGCATTGTGGTTTGGCACTGTGCTATGTATTCTGCGTGTGTGCACACAGATATTCAATCCTCAGCTGAGCCCAAGAGGGTGGCACTTTAAACCTGAATCTTATAAAAGGGACAATGAGTCCCTGGAAGGTTGAAGTTCTTTGCCCAAGAAGTCACAAAGCTACTTCCTGGCCCTCCTGGGATTTGAACGAGGGCAGTGAGGTTCCAGTCTCTTCTGTTTTCTTTTTGGTTTTATGAGACAGGATCTCACTATGTAGTTCAGGCTGGCCTTAAACTCACTATGTAGCCCAAGGTAGCCGCAAACCCCCAACAATCCTCCCGCCTCAGCTTCCCCAGTGCTAGGACTACAGCCATGTGTCATCATGCCTGGCTCTTCAGTCTTTTCTCAAATTCCCCTCCTCGTGACCCAGAGAAGGAGAATCTCAGGGTGGGGGGCTGTACCTTTCTAAATTCAGGGGAGCAGAGGCCACTCTTGGGTGGCAACACCATCCCCAGGCACGAGGGTACAAAGATTTTAGTGGGGAAAGGACAGGAGGCTCAGTGGGGCGGGTTGGGCAGTGGGCAGAGGGGTACGATATGGCCCCCATCCCCTCCCCTGGGGGTGGTGGGGGCAGAGGCCTCAGTCCTGCCTGCCCCAAGGACATTCTGTCCTGTTCTTTCTGTTCCAGCCCTGTTTGTCTTCCTGCCCAGAGGGTGGGGGTGGGCGGGCCGCATGGAGCTGGGGGCCCAGGACAGAGGGAACAGGGAGTGGGGGAAGGGACAGGGTGGGGTGGTGCCCCGCCTCCCAGGCAGCTGGGCTCCTTAATCCTCTCAGTGGCGTCCCTTCCTCTGCAGGGGCCAGCTGGTGGCCCCAGGGGGACCCTTCCTTCCAGCTCCCAGCCTGTTCTCCGGATGTTCTGAGGGAAGTGTGGGCCTCTCGCTGGGTCTCTGGCTTTTTATGCCTTTTGGTTAAACAGAATGGGGACCAGTTCCTCTGGCTCATGGTTCCAAGCCCCACTCTGTTATTTATTAGCTGTGTGATCAGACATGTTGCACAGCCTTGCTGGACATAGCAACAACACCCACCTTGTAGAGGGTGTTTTGTTTTGTTTTGGATTTTTGAGACAGGTTCTTGATATGTAGTTCAGGCTGGCCTCAAATTTCTGGCGATCCTCTTGCCTCAGCCTCCTGAGTGTTGGGAACAGTGTGGGCCACCATGCCTGGCTTCTAGAGGGTTTTAAAGATTAAATGAGTTAATATATGTCGAGGCCTTAGTAAACAAGGCCTGACAACTGGTTAGTGCTAACTGCTCTCCTTCTGTGCACGTCAGGGATGGAAGCTGGGGCTTAGAGGCCTCTTTGCACTGGAGTAACCTGTGGGCATTGATGGTAAGTGACCATGTGATGTGTGCAATTAGGTGTGTGCAATTCTGTGCATGGCTTTTACATAAACACCTTGGGAAGAGGACTACATACCAGTGATGGTAATGACAGCATTGTGTATTACACACTCACAGGGTTGGAGACCCCACTAAATCCTTACAAAGACCCCAGAGAGCTGAAGAGGCGATCTCCCTTGGAAAGAGGCTGGAAGTGAGGCTTCAAGCCGTGGTGGCAGCAGCCGACCGAGTGCCCGGCTCGCAACCCCATCACCCTCGGCAACGCTGGGCTCCACTCCACTCTGCCGCTTTGGTTCATCAGCCTCCTTCCCACTGCTGCCTTCCCGAGGAGGAAGGAGAGAGGGGCTGGGATCGCCTGAGGCTGCAGTGTTCAGCAGCAGACCCATGAGTGCGTTTGCTTCTGCCTCAACCCTGACTTGGACTCAGTTTATCGTGCCCTGTGTGTGAGCCTCCGGCCCATTTGTTGCTCACTGGCTTCTCGTCATGATCTGGGGTGGGAGGGGAAGGTATGACTCCCATTTCCCAGGATATGAAGCTGGGGTTCTGAGAGGCAATCACTGGCACAAGGCCACGCAGCCAGGAAGTGGGCACACTGAGATTTGAACCTGACTTTGGGGCCTGTGTTCTTAAATGCCAACCTCAAGGGGTGAGCCTCCTGCTCTGGAGCCCCTCCTTACTCCTCTTTGCCTAGTGGCCTAAATTCCTCCCCCTGTCCCACTGCTGTGGCCTCTGGATCTTCCCAGCTGGCCCCATGCCCAGCCCTGGTCCAGCCCCTTGGCACTGTGCCCAGCTGGGGACGTGCGGCTGGAACCCTGCCACCCTTCCTCCGTGTTCCAGCCGAGAACAGGGGGTGGGGCCAGGAGGCCCTAGGGTGAGGCCTAGGAAGGGGGGGCTGGGCTGCAGCGCCACGCCACAGCCAGGAGGGAGAAAAGCCCACTTCCGTGCCCTGAAGAACCAGGACCCAAGAGCAAGGGCATGGAAGTAGGAGCCCCTGCCCACATTTGGGGCTTCTTCCGGGCTCTCTCTTCGGAATTCTAGCTGGGTCTGGTGGCAATGCTTGTAAAATGTGTAGGGGACTCGGGGGATTGGGTTTCATCTGTGCAAGGACCCTGCTTGGCATTGCCTAAAGGTGGCCCAAGAGGCCAGGGGCAGGGTTCGGGTTTGAGACAGGATGTGGGGTAGAGGTCTAGGAGAGTCTCTCTGGAGCTGACTTTGTTCCCAAGGAGGTGGTGATCCAGTGGGGCGCCCACCCCCAAAGTCCTGCCTTCTCTGGAGCCCTCCACCCCCGGTGGGCACTCGGGCGCACTTCCCAGAACATCCCTGTTTGGGGCGGGATGGCTGCAAGCCTGAGCTGGCAGAAGACAGGGGTCATGGGATGCAGGGCCCCACTCACCAAAGCCCAGGCCCGTACCATCCTGGGGGTACAGGAGGGGCCAGAGCGCAGCCAGGATCCGGGTGCGAGGTATGAGTGGGTGGTGCGGCATGGTGGGATGATACCACAGGAAAGGGCTGGCCTTGGGTGGTGAGGGGGGAGCCCCCCGGCTCAGCCAAGAGGGCCCTTGCCCGGCCAGGAGGGGGCGCTGGGCGCAGGGGGCCAAGATTAGCCCAGAAGGATGGAGCTCCCTGGTGGGCCCAGAGCCAGGGATTGGAATAGAACTGGAGAGGGGAGTGGGGTGGGGGTGCTAAGAAAACGGGGGTGATGGATCCAATCAGACCTGCCAAGCCAGTGGGGAGGGAAGGGGATGAAGCCTGGGGGCTCTTTCTGGGGTCCCAGGGAAACCTGGTCAGACAGGACCCCTGGCTGTGCTCCCAGAGCACAGGTTGCCTCTGCCCCTGCAGATGGGCACCTGTTGAAAGGTGAACGCAGAAACCCACCCCTGTCCAGGGTGACCCTGCTGAGCCCTGTGGCAGGGGACGCCCCCACGGCAGCTGGCCGGGTCACGCTGGACCAGGTATGGCACTTCCCCAGAGGTGTCCCCCAAAATAAAGTTGGGTAGGTCCCATAGTCCTTCAGCAAGAGAATTGGGTCAGGAGTGAGACGCAGCCAGACTTTGGGAAGTAGGTCAAACTTGTTTCCATTTTACGCGCGGGGAGGGGGGACGGGGGCGGACACACGCAACTTTTTAAAAAGACCCCCTGGGAAAAGTCCCAGGCACCTGCTACAGGGTACCTTCTCTACCCATTTCTAGGGAAACCCAAGGTTTGGGGGATTACAGGAAGGATCGAATCAAAGGCAGCCTCTCTTCTCTGGAAGTCAGAACCTCAATCGCCAGAGGACTCCTTATATCTCAATTTGGGAGTACCCTGAAGATGACCAGGGTCTGACGGCGAAGCACAGCCTCAGTTCTAGCTCCGTAGGCCAGAAGGATCCGCGTGTGGAGGGAGAAAGGCTCCCTGGAGCCCGAGCACTGCTCAAACGCAACCACCTCCAGTTCCCAGGGGATCCAGAGTTTCACCTCCCACAGGACAGGGAAGCCAACTTGCGGTGGTAGGAAATCGGGGATCACGACCTCAAAGCCGTTCCTGACAAAAGGGGAGGAACAACCGGGGACTTGCGAAGATCTCCCACCCCTGCAGTAGGGTAGAAGGTGCGGCGGGGATGTGCCTACAATCGCGCCCCCAGGGCGTCCTAGACTCGCACCCGCTCACTCCCGGTCCAGGTTAAGGGGTCCCTGGAAGAAGAGCCCCTCCAATGCCCATCATTCCCGTGCCCCAACCCCAGTACCTTGCCCGCTGCAGCCCCAGCGCCATGGCTCGCCCGTCTAGCTCCGTAGCCGGAGGAGACCACGAGCCCCCTCCCCTGGCCCTGCTAGCCCCCTCCCCAGCTCCGCCCCCGATACCCCATTGGCTGCGCTGAGCCCATCCCGCGGCTCTGGTTGGACAATGTGTCTGTCACTCCCGGGAAGGAGGCGGGACCAGCGGAGAAGACTTGGAACAGTAACGTGGGGACAGTGTGTAGTACACACCCCCCAGCCACGCCCCTCGCCTCGGACTTCCTCGGCGTTGTAGCTCGCGCCGTCTGCGGCCGCGCCTTCTCTCTCTCAGCCTCTGAAGTTCAGCAACACGGTCTGAACCGCCCAGCTCGCTCTGTCCCCAGCACCCCAGCCGCCACCCCATTGCCCCTCCTCCACCTCATTCCCCTATTTCCTACCCCGGCCCTGGCCTCTCCGACTTCCTGTCCCGGGTCCTTATTTCCTCACTGCACTTCCAGATCCCAACCCTACCCCAGTTCCATCATCCTCAACTTTTTGCACCCCCTTCTCCACCCCCACCCAGTACACCCTGGTCCCTAGGCCTCTCTAACTCCCTTTCAGACTCCTGCTGTTGAATAATTAAGCTTCTGTCAAATCAATAGGCTTTAACTCAATCACACCCACTTTTAAAAGGAGCAGAGAAATGGCATCTTTTACCAATCAAGTGACAAGGGATTTAAAGTCGTCTAGGACAAGTGAAAACTGTATACTTGGGCAAGAAAGAGCACACGCGTATGTGTGTGCATCTGTACACACATGTGCAGTAATCCACGTGGACAGAGAGTGGTATTCTGGGTGCAGTTTCAGCAGGGAGAAGGTCACTATAGCAGATGTCTATAGTGTAGCAAAAAAGGTCTATGGATTTTCCTCGCAAGTCCCACCACAGAGCCTTTACACATGCTGTTCCCTCAGCTTGGTGTGCTCTTCCCCCAGAAACTCACATGGCTCCCTACTTGATCCTAATATCCCACTCAATATTCTTCGGGGATTTTTTTGTTGAAGTAAGGTCTTGCTATGTAGTTCAGGCTGGCCTTGAACTCACTATGTAGCCCAAGTTGGTCTTGAACTCACAGCGATCCTCCTGCTTCAGCCTCCCAAGTGCTAGGATTGTAGGCCTGCACCACCATGCCCGACTTTCTTTTGGGAAAATAAATACATTCCTTTCTCTGTCTATTTCATTTGAATAAGTCCGGCTATCCCCTGACCTCACCAACTCTAGGGAGCATAGTGGATCCAGACCTAGCTGGTTTATGGTTTCCCTGGTCACAGTAATTACTCAGGGAAGTCATGTGGCCCATGAGAGGTTTGCTGCAACTGTTGGAAGGGAGGTTTTCTATTTCTGCTGGAGTTTGCCAATTTGGAGCTGATGGGCCTCCCACTGCTACAAAGATAGGAGAGGCTTTCTGAGCTGTAAGTCAACAGAGAGAGAAGAGAAGCGAAAGATCATGAAAGTCAGTCTTGACAGCAGCCCTGGGTGCCTGGATCAGGCCACACCTGAACTCTGATCAGTTCAGAGTCACATGAACCATTAGGAGGGTTTTTCCTTGGTTGTTGCAATTGTTTCATTTATTTCTTTATTTTTATTTTATTTTCTGAGAGAGGGTCTCACTATGTAGTTCAGACTAACTCTGAACTCACTATGTAGCCCAAGCTGGCCTCAAACTTGAGGATCCTCCTGCCTTAGCCTCCTAAGTGCTAGGATCACAGGTATATGCCACCACACCCAGTGCAATTGTTTTAAAATATTGCATTATTCATTTACTCTGTCCTGAGAGTAGTTCGAGTGGATTTCAGTTGTCTGTACCCCCACCCCAGTCTTGGTAGGTAGAGGCGTCCACTCTCAATCCTCAGAATGGGGGAGGAGAAAGTAAGAAGCCTGAGTTAGAAAGGCAGCAGGGGGCCAGTGTGCTTAGGACATGAAGTAGAAGAAATGTTCAAGGGAGACCCTGAGGGGTGGTGGCTGGTCACAGGGTGAGGAGGGTTCCAGAGGCCACATCAGAGAGGTTTGGAGAGGGGAAGGAATGGAAGTCCGACCCGGTGGAAAGAACAGATCCACTGATTTGGGGACAAGGCAGTTACAGCAGGTAACCGATCTGAGGGCTCCCTTGTGAGTGCCACGGGAAACTGGCACGTGTTAAGCCAACATTAAAGTAGAACCAAAACCACATAGATCGTGTACGTATATCTCAGGCATATGCGATCCAGCTTAGCCTTACAATTTACTAGGAGTTTCCTGGCAGCTGAGGCAATAAAGGAAATATGTTGAAGTCATTTCCAAATTATACCAAAGTATGTGTTCTTGTTTTAAGGAGGAATTTAAGACCTCACTATTGTCAGCACCGGGGATGGAACCCAGGTTCTCGAGCACACTAGGCAAGCGTTGTAGCTGTGCCGCATCTCCAGCCGGAGCGGACCGTGGGCCTTGGCTGAGGTGCCTCTCCCAGCCCGTGGGGTTGCCAAGGTTTCCCGAGTTACCCGAGCAGACCCGGACCGTGGGCCTTGGCTGAGGTGCCTCTCCCAGCCCGTGGGGTTGCCAAGGTTTCCCGAGTTAGGGGACACCTGCAGGAAGGCTTGGAGGATGAGTACGGGAGGTAAAGAGCTTGGAGGTACAGTGGACACGGTTATGACCGATTCGGGGGTGGGGGAAGGAGAGCAAGCTCCAGACGCAGACTCCTGCTCGGGTTCTCCCTCAGGACGCGGTTGACCGATTCGGGGGTGGGGGAAGGAGAGCAAGCTCCAGACGCAGACTCCTGCTCGGGTTCTCCCTCGGCTGCGGGGAGCAGAGGCCGGGTTTTGAGCAGGGCGGGGACGCGGCGGGAAGCCCTGGAAAGACTCCGGAGGAGGAGGAGGACGACGACGAAGAGAAGCTTGGGGCGCAGATGTGGTGGAAAGAGGCGACCTCGGACCAGGGCAGGGCCATGCGGTGAAGTGGGAGGGACGGACAAGGAAATCCTGGGGTTCCCCCAGAGAGGATGAGCAAGCGCACTGGCGCCCCCTCCCTGAGCTCAGTCCGCTAAGGAAGGGCGCGGCTGCTGGGGATTTAGCTCAGTGGTTCCTTCGCCTGAGCCCAAGGACCGGAGTTCGATCCCCGGTACAGGAAAAAAAGAAAGAAAGAAAGAAAAGGAAAGGGCGCGGCTACTGGCGCCGAGGCAACCGGAAGAACTGTCGAAAATGTGATGAATGAAAGAAGTTAGGCCTGAAAAAGCCCATGTTATGTGATCTCACGTCGGACTTATGTATGGTGGAACGAAAAGGTCAGGAGAGGGTTTCTTTGTCTTGATAAGGGCTTTGGGTCACGCACGTTTATGCATCGATCAGAAATTTGTGAATGGCGCCCAAGAGTTTTGCGTCTCACCTCCTGAGACTTTTACCTTAAAATAGAAAACAACAACAACGAAAAAGAAGGGTAAATAAACAATGCGTGTCAGGCTGAGGAATTAGGGGGCAGTGTCCTATTGCAACTGCCGCTGCAATGCAATAAAAAAGGAAGCTGGCACGACGGACTGACGGGTGGGTGGACAAACAGCTCGAAATAGAAGAAAGCAAATATAGCGAAACATCAACATCAAGGTGATGGGTACAGCGATGTTCACTGTAGAGTCTTTTGCCTTTTTTGTTTTTTGTTTTTTTGTAAGCTTAGCAATGCTCCCAGTACAATGTTGGAAGAAACAAGGACTATTTAGGAGACCGGAGGGTCATGGTTTGGAGTGAGGGACCATTTGGAGGCTTCGTTACGGTTGACTTTGGGTGTTGGGGTACAGTTTTTTTTAAGTGTGCTCTGCTTTGGGAGAATGGAAGCCTTCATGTTTTCCAGGTGGGCTGGGGTCTTTCCCTTCCTCTCTCCTTTTCCTCTCCCCGCCATTTATTCAGCTAAGGGTCCATCCGCCCACTCATCCACCCACTGAGTTTCTCTAGTAAACATTCGCAGCGTGGCCAACCTACCCAGTGCTGTCGCAGGCACCGGGGGACTCAGGGATGGACAAGGCAGACAGAGTCCCCTCACCCGCTGTCAGGGAGCTCGCACTGCAACTGGGCAGGCAGAGTCTGAGCAAGACGTGTGAGGGAAGGACGCGGCGGGGGTGTCACGGAGAAGTGTGACCCTGACAGGATGGGTGGTGACAGTTGGCAAGGGGGCGATGATGATGATGTTGATGGTTAATCCCATACTAGGGATTGAACCCAGGGCCTTTGCACTTAGCCACAGATTTTTACAAATTTTGAAACAAGGTCCCTCTCAAGTGTGAGGGAAGGACGCGGCGGGGGTGTCACGGAGAAGTGTGACCCTGACAGGATGGGTGGGTGACAGTTGGCAAGGGCGCAATGATGATGATGATGTTGATGGTTAATCCCATACTAGGCATTGAACCCAGGGCCTTTGCACTTAGCCACAGATTTTTACAAATTTTGAAACAAGGTCCCTCTCGCTAAATAGCCTAGGTTGGACTCATGCTTTCGATCCTTCTGCCTCAGCCTCCCCACCACTCCTGGCTAGAACTGCTAGAAGCTGTGTCCTTTTACGAAGGAGCCTTGGCTGTTTCTTTCTTTCTTTCTTTCTTTTTGTTTTTCGAGACAGGGTCTCACTATGTAGTTCAGACTGCCCTGGAACTCATTGTGTAGCCTAGGTTGGTCTCAACCTCACAGCGATCCTCCTGCCTCAGCCTCCCGAGTGCAGGGATTACAGGCGTGCGCCACCACGCCCGGCTGGCTGTCACTTTCCTCCCATTCCTTCCATCCAGGCAGATAGCAAATCTGGCCCAGCTTCAAGAAGCAGGATGCAGACTCCACTCTGGATGGGAGGGGCGCGCTCCCAGAGAGAGGAGGAGCCCGTGAGATCAGAGACTGCATCGCGGCCAATCTCCCCTGGACACTCCTCATGGGGGACGTTAGCACGGAGATCTGCCTACCAAGTGAGTCCTGGAAAGGGAGCTGGGAGCTGTATTTACAGTACTGGCAATAAATGCTTGTCTTGCCGGGCATGGTGGCTCAAGCCTGTAATCCCAGCACTCTGGGAGGCTGAGGCAGGAGGATTGC